CTTTGGCATTCAGAAATTTATGTAGTGGTATATGCTATGCTATAGGTTTTAGTAGAGCTGATGTAATACTGTATTTATTTTGTTTTTCAGATTTTTGTAGGAATATATCGTTTGCTATTTTTGCGATATATCAACAGTTCGACTATTTATTTCATGATTTAATTTAAATGCTAACACTAAAGTTGTCTGTAGACTGCAAGAAAGAACTTCATCGATACATGGATGGACTCTTTCAAATATATGAAAGGGCAATAAATGGTGATGGCACCTTCAATAAGATTAAACTTAAATAATATATTTTGTTGATCTTTTGCTTTCTTCTTCTTTTGCAGTTGGAAATGCCGTTCAAACTTGAGGACCTACTGTTTTGTAAGTTTATTATGTATTATTACGTTTAAGTTTTAGTATCTACACTTTTAGTTGAATATACACTTTTTCAAGAAAACTAAATTACTGGAGAGTGTGAAGTGTGAACATTGCAGCATGTATTGTAATTGAGCTGTCTAACTCGTGAAATTTATTTCCTGCTTACCTCGATTCCAGGTTTTTAAAATTATTAATCTAAGCACTTGAACTTTTGTTTTATTTTATCTCAATACATTCGATTAGAATAGTTGCTACACACTGATTTGTTGCTTCACATATCCTGATTCCATATGAAATTGCTAGTTGCTCCACACTAGTATGAAAAACAGAACTGTAACTGACCAAGCATAAGATTGTAGGGGTTATTACAATATTCTTCAATCATGATATAACTGCTAATTTACAGAACATCTGCTGATTTTGAAGTGTTGATGAAAGCTGCTGCCATGAAGAATTGATGATGTGAAGCTGGGCGATGTGTTACGAATTGTTATTGACGTTTCCAACAAATTTTGCTATATGTATATATGTACGACGTTTAGGTAGCTCACTTTTTGGACAAAACTATGTAGTTTATTTGAAATTGATATTATTAATTATTTCTCTATGTTTTGAGATTTGTTGACTTGATTATCATTTATGAGATTAGTAATTATACTGAATTGGAAGTTTTAAAATATAATTGAAATTGAATTTCTAAATTATAATTGAATTGGGGTCTGGAAGCAATGCCAAACAAAGTGTCACTAGAACATGTGATGTAAAAGGGTCGTCGAATAGTTATGTCGCCAATGTATCACTATTTAATGATACTTGAGTGTCACTAGAGTATATGATGTAAAAGTGTCGCTGAATAGCTATGTCGCCAATGTGTTACTATATTGTGATACTATAGTGTCACAATTCTGTGACACTTGTAGTGACACTTAAAAAGTGTCACTTGTAGTGTCACTAGCCCTCACTTTCAGTGACACTTTTTTAGTGTCACAGAAACTTTCAGTGACACTAATTTGGTGTCACTGTAAGGCATTTTTCTAGTAGTGAATCATAAATAATATTCTGTACGTAATAATGTGTTAAAGAGTAGTATCAGAATGAGAACTAAACAAATTTTAATTAAAAGAAGCAAAAGAAATGAGACTAAGAGACTTTGATCCTAGAAGTATTCACAACCCAGTTGAAGTATCCTCCTGTTAGAGCTGTGATCATGCCATAAACATCAAGGAAGGAGCAAACATTCCCAACTTAAGACCTTACAGGTATTCCTTTGATAAGAAGAATGAGATAGAGAAGGATGGTGGTCGGAGGTTTTGTGGGGATTATAGGGCCCTAAAGAAAGTAACTATACCTGACAATTTCCCCATTCCAGTTATAGAAGAGCTTCTTGATGAATTAGGAGGGGCAAGAATCTTCTCAAAACTGGATTTAAGGTCAGGCTATCATCAAATTAGGATGAAAGCTAGTGATACTCATAAGACTGCCTTCAGGACCCATGAAGGGCATTATGTGTAGTCATGCCATTTGGATTGACTAATGCCGCCTCAACATTTCAGTGCCTGATGAATGAGGTTTTGTGACTTTTCTTAAGGAAGTTTGCCTTGGGGTTCTTTGATGACATACTAGCATACAGTAAAACTAGAGTGGAACATAAAGAACACCTGAGGAAGGTATTGGAAGCCTTAAGGAAGAATGGCTTAGTGGCTAACCAGAAGAAGTGCTCTTTTGGTCAAAAGCAATTGAATTATTTAGGCCATATCATTTCTTGAAAAGGGGTGGCAGCTGACCCTAGCAAAATTGAAGCAATGAAGAATTGGGCTGTACTCAAAGACCTGAAGGGACTGAGAGGTTTTCTGAGCTTAATTGGGTACTACATGAGATTTGTGAAGGGTTACAACAAGATTGTTGCACCACTAACACTCGTATTGAAGAAGGATGGATATAAATGGAATGAGATAGCCAATAAAGCTTTTTAAGATCTGAAAGCTGCTATGATTTCTATACCAGTACTAAGGGTCCCAGGTTTCAACAAATTATTTGTGGTAGAAACTGATGCCTCAGGGAAGGGTTTGGAGGCTGTTCTCATGCAAGAAGGTGGACCAATTGCTTACACGAGCAAAGAATTATCCCCTAAGCATCTAGCCAAATAAGTTTATGAGAAGGGACCGATGGCCATTGTGTTTTCCATCCAAAATGGATGACATACTTAATGGGAAGGAGTTTTGAGGTCCATACTGTCCTAAGAAGCCTGAAATATTTGACTGAGCAGAAAATAATGGGGGAGGATCAACAAAAGTGGATATCAAAGCTTATGGGTTACAATTTCATCATTAAATATAAACCGGGTTCTGAAAACAAAGCCGATGATGCTCTTTCAAGAAAGTCAACTTTCTCAGCTTTATCCATAGTTACTTGCCAGGAGTGGGGGGTTTGGAAGAAGAGTTGCAGCAAGATACTAAATGCTTAAAGCTTTGCATTCCACCAACACATTTTTATTACCTAAAACACCCTTACTTCTATCGAGTCATAAGATTTTAGTTCAGAAGAGATAGATATTAGTATTATTATACTACCTCTGTCCGTTAAAACTTTGCCAAGTTTGACCGGCACGTGGATGAATAAAGTAAAAATTGTGTGATTGAGGTTTGTGTAGAGGAGAAAGAATTAAATGAAGCCACAAATTTTTACTTAAAAAGGAAAATGACAAAGTTAGTGGGACATCCAAAAAATGAATATTGATAAGTTTTAATGGACGAAGGAAGTATGTGTTTAGTTACGAGAGCCCTCATAATTATAAAAGGAAATATAAGCTTAAACTGTTAAACGCCAATACGAAGCTGACTAAGGTCGAATAAGGATTTAACAATAATACAATAATAGTCATAGGAAACTAAGGTAGTCTTAGGATGTTTTTACTTGGACTGTAATTTGCTGGTCTTGTCTGGTCTGTTTTGGTCTGGTCTGGTCTGGTCTAGTCTGGTCTGGTCTGAAATTTTATTTTTTATATTTTTTGCATAAAGATTTTATTTTTTATATATATTACAATCCATAAATAATTATATTTTATTCATTTATAATTACAAATAATAATAACAATAACAATAACAATAATTATAATAATAATAATAATAATAATAATAATAATAATAATAATAATTAGGGGTGTGCACTATCCGGTTTAAACCAGAAAACTGAACCGGACCGGAAAAACCGGAACCGGAATGATATCCGGTCCGGTTCGGTATGGTCTGGTCTGGTTTTGAACTGGCGCACACCCCTAATAATAATAATAATAATAATAATAATAATAATAAAAAATAATAATAATAATAATAATAGTAGTAGTAATAATAATAAGGGGTGTGCACTAGCCGGTTTGAACCGGAAAACCGGACAGAACCGGACTGGAAAAACCGGAATGATATCCGGTCCGATTAGGTCCGGTCCGGTCCGGTTTTGAACCGATGCACACCCTAATAATAATAATAATAATAATAATAATAATAATAATTAGGGATGTGCACTAGCCGGTTTAAACCGGAAAACCGGACTGAACCGGACCAGAAAAACCGGAACCGGATCGAACCGGAATGATATCCGGTCCGGTTCGGTACGGTCCGGTTTTGAACCGGTGCACACCCCTAATAATAATAATCATAATAATAATAATAATAATAATAATAATAATAATGATGATGATGATGATAATGATAATGATAATAATAATAATAATAATAATAATATTAATAATAATATTAATATTAATAATAATAATAATAATAATAAAATATGGTATGGTCTGGTCTGGTTTGGTCTGGTTATTTTTAGTCTGGTCTGTTCTGGTCTGTTTTAGTCTCGTCTGGTCTGGTCTGTTTTGGTCTGGTCTGGTTTGGTCTGGGACGAATTACAGTCCAAGTAAAAACAACCTTACGAGTAGTCGAGTAGCATTCAGTCGTACACATCATGTAACGCAAATTCATCCTGCATTTAGAAATTAATTAATTTAGTCCTATTTTGGTGCTATTTTTTCAAATATATATTAGTTGTAGAATAAAGGTAGGAAAAGGAAAGAGAAAATAAATAAGTGTAAGTACAACGAAAATAAAGTAAAAAGTTAGTATGATGAGAAAAAGATCTTTTATAAGGATACTAATTCGAAAATATATATATAAATGAAAATGAAATAATAAATCAGAAGAAGAAAAAGAAGGAAAAATGGAATACAACATTGAAAAAATAAAAAATAAATGAAAAGTAATAAAAATAAGAATAAGACAACAAAAAAGGAGAATAAAAACGTCAAGACGATAACAATAAAAAGGAAAAGTTTTAGGAAGAAAAAAGAAAAATGATGCGTGGGATCATTTGATGAAGATTTATGAAAGATGATATTTATGCTTGAATGATTTGCAAAGAAAAAATGAAAAAACCTGGAATATGAGATTATCAATCGATCAGGGACCAGCGAATGAAGATGAGGTGCAAATATTGGATTATTTATAAATAACGATAAAATGAGACTATTGTAAGAAAATCGCTAAAAGATTAGATTATTAATTTCCATTTTACCAATTTTCTTTTATTCGAATTGTTTGAGTAATGAGTTTCAATTCAAATACTTCGTATTAGGTTTCAATTTTGCATATTTGGAATTGGAGCATAAAAAAAGATGTCGAGTACTCGAACCCAAGTGTATCAACCACAGGATAATCCTGTACTCACAGTGAGATAAGAAGTAGATAAGGCCTAACCACTCACAGTCGTCAGATGGATTCACTCATGGAATCCAACGGCTTTCGTTTTTGTACATGGATCACAACCTCTAAAAAATAAGCTGACAAAATAATGCGCAATCCACTCGGTATAGCCACCCAAAGAGCTAAAAAACTTCAATCACAGAGCAATTATTCAGCCAACCGTTTATCATGGCCACCCCCACCGCCACCGCCGCCGCTACGTCTTCATTTCTAGGAACCCGCCTCCCGGATGTTTACTCCGGAGCAGCCCGAGTTCAGGCCCGATTCGGATTCGGACTTGGTCGCAAGAAATCTCCCCCCAAGAAGGCAGCACCAAAGCCCGGCTCAAATAGGCCCTTGTGGTACCCAGGAGCCAAGGCGCCAGAATATCTTGACGGAACCCTTGTCGGAGACTATGGGTTCGACCCGTTCGGGCTAGGGAAGCCCGCTGAGTACTTGCAATTCGAGCTGGACTCCCTGGACCAGAACTTGGCTAAGAACCTCGCCGGAGAAGTCATCGGAACAAGAACGGAGTTCACGGACCCGAAATCGACTCCGTTGCAGCCTTACAGCGAGGTCTTCGGGCTGCAGAGGTTCAGAGAGTGTGAGCTGATCCACGGAAGGTGGGCCATGCTGGGTACTCTCGGCGCGTTGACTGTGGAGTGGCTCACCGGAGTGACATGGCAAGACGCCGGAAAGGTACGTGAAATCCCATCACCGATAGGAGATTTTAATTTCAGCCCGAATTAGCTAAAAATTGTTGAAATTCGAAAGTATAGGTTGAGCTTATCGAGGGATCTTCATATCTTGGACAACCACTTCCATTCTCGATGACCGCATTGATTTGGATCGAGGTTATTGCGATCGGGTTTGTCGAGTTCCAAAGAAATGCAGAGCTTGACCCGGAGGCGAGGCTGTACCCGGGTGGAAAATTCTTTGACCCGTTGGGCTTGGCTGCTGACCCGGAGAAGAAGTCCAGGCTTCAGCTTGCAGAGATCAAGCATGCCAGGCTTGCAATGGTTGCCTTCTTGGGCTTTGCTGTTCAAGCGGCTTCCACAGGTAAAGGCCCACTCAACAACTGGGCTACCCACTTGAGTGACCCGCTCCACACCACTGTTTTTGACACCTTTGGATTCTTCTCTTAAGCTCCTCCTTCCACTTCTAATCCTGTATTATCCACTTAATTATTGTTGAGAATGTTTAAATGTCATTATGCCAGTATGAATATACCTTTATTTGGACTCATCATGCCAAAATGGGGGTGAACATTTGGCAATCAATAGGTTCAAAGTGAGAAATACATTTTCATCTCTTCAAACATCTTATAATTTCCATACTCTTGACTCTTGAGAATGATAACACTTCGGTCATAAAAGAGATCAAATTAGAGAATGATAATAAGACTTCTTATACTTGGATATCAAGTCCAATCTACACTATACTACTTGTATCGGTTAAGGTAAAGCTAGTTGAAAATTTGAAAGCTCCGTGGCTTCACATTTATCTTCTAATTCACTTTTTTCCCTTTTATAAAACTTATGAAATCATATGTATAAACAATTCCAATGAATTTCAATATGCAAATTTAATGTAATACACTACTTTTTAAATATGCATTGACAATTTACAAATGAGTATAAAATCTGTAACAAATGAGCATATGTAACTTACAAAATGCGTATTGACATGAAAATCATCAGGTTTGTTAGTTGGATATCATGACATTTTCATTGAGCATCAAACATCCTCTCTTGAAATGAAAATCATGGTTTCTGTTAAATGAACATTAATGAACTTTTAATGAGCAGGAAATCTATCTTATTGAGTATTATGAGTCTAATCTTGAACATCGTGATATCTGCTTCATAACTTTTAATTCACTTTCTTTTTGTTATTTTCGCTTTTATAATTTTTTTATAAATTATATCTATAATCAACTCTTATGAATTTCAATATGCGAATCTAATGTCATATGGTACTTTTGAAATATGCATTATATGACATTTTAAAATAAGCATAACATATGTCTCAAATGAACAAACGTAACTTACAAAATGAGAATGGATATGAAAATTATAAGTTTTGTTAGTTGAGCATCAAGACATTTTCAGTGAGCATCAAACCTCCGATGTTGAGTAGTGTTGGATCGGTACCGGGCTGACCAGCCCGTGAACCGGACTGGATCGCTACTGTGCGGGCCTGACCTGGCACGGGAGTCAGGTACCGGTTCCGGGCCTAGGACCGGCCCGGGGAGTTAGGGCGGGGCGGTTCCGGCTTGCCCTTCCTTTGGAACCGGCCCAGTTTGGGCCTTTTTTTAATTTTTTAATTTTTTTCATTTTTTTTGTTTTCCCTGGATGGGCTGGGTGTTTTGGGGGTGTTTTTTTTGGGGGGGGGGGGGGGGGGGGTTGGGGGTTAAGTAGAAAAGCCAAAAAAAAAGACACGGCCTAGCCCGGTACCGGTAGACTCCTGGGCCGGTCCCGGGCCTTACCCAAAATCTTCCAAGCCCGGCTGGGCCTAGGCCCGAATCGGAACCGGACCGGGCCCGGTCCATGCATAATATCGAGTGCTAGAATCGTGCGATCGAGTATCAGTGATTTATTCTCATGTGTCTTTAATCAACTACTATGTGAATCTAATGTAATAATGACACTTTTGAAATATACATTGATATAACATATTGAAATGAGCATAACGACGTTACTAAATGAGCCACATAACGTACAAAATGAAAATCTAAAAATTCAAAAAACCATTTGTGTATTTTCAATCCTTTAGGCGTATACTCATTCGAGTTTAATATAAAACTCATTTGAGATCAATAGCAGCAAGGATTCCTCAACAACGAAGGAGAGTCTCCTTGTCTCCGAAAATCACAAGCTCAATCGACAACATCTTGAACCCGAACTCAGTCTCCGACCTCAAGCTTGTTGCGGAACTAGAAATCATCAATCACCGGCTCAAATGGCCATCCCCCAGTCTTCCTCTTCTCGCAGCAATGGCGAACAACGACGAGCTCAGGTGTGTGATCCTCAGAATCAACGACGACGACAATATCTCAATTTCCGACAACGTCAACGGTTAGCTTATCAGCGGCAATGGCTCCCCTAGACTTCGAACGATGGCAACAGATTACACGAAGAAGACGATCGGCGAAAAAAGGGATGAGAATAACCTACACACGTTTGAGAAATCTGGGAGAAGAGTATTATTCAAAGCCTTAAAGTTCATTGTTATTACAAAATGTCGGATGTACCTGTACACCCGGGTGTATGATATATTACCTCCATCCCAATGGACTGTGCACTCCTTAAGTTATGTGAGAAATAAGAATAGTAAAAATTGTGTTATTCAAGTTTGTTCAGAGGAGAGAGAAATGAGTAGAACAACAAAATAGTTACTTTAATGGGAAAGTGGCAAAATTTTTTGGGACAACCAAAAAGGGAAAGATGACAAAGTCCACTGGGACGGAGGGAGTATATTGTGTGTGCTTCAAAGCGATCGTTGATCTCCCCTCTTTGAATGGGAAGTGCGTACGCGTACAACGTACATATAGACTTCCTTCCTCACCATACTTGCAATTTTTAAGCCACAAATTAAACGACAATTAATGTTTTGTGTTATACTTGTTAAACGATAATTATAAATATTATTATTATCTTGTAATTATCTCTTTTATTATTCTTGGTATTATCTTGTCTATATTAAAGAAGTTTAAGTTACATAAGAACAAATGAGCCAAAAGTCTTATTCTTATTCTTAAATAATGAATGAATTAAATATTATTAAAAGAGTTCAAACATATATAAGTTCGTAAAGGCTATGTTTAAGAAAACGAACCCAGTCATGTGATCGGACCACGGGTCAACCCGGACTCAGTCGGATCAACCCAGTCAACGCCATAAAACCGATCAACCATATACTAATAAACATATAAATGTATACAAAATTAAAATAAACGATAGTATTAACATAATCTATATATACATAAAAGCAAAATAATGTGTTACTGTTCAATGAACAGTGTTTTTACTGTTCAATGCACAGTGATCCCGCTCACATCCAAAATGATCTCAATCGTCAGCTCCCATCTATCATCACCGTTTCTTCTTCCCCTCAATCTTCCGCTCCCATCTCACCTTTTGTTCTGCGCCTCAATAGTCCGCTCCCATCCCACCGTTTCTTCTTCGCCCCATCCCTCCCTTTTCTTCATCAATCGTCCGCTTCTCATACAAACGTCCGCTCCTATACATCATCACCCTTTCTTCATCACCCTATTCTCCCTTATCATTTCGTTCTCCATCATCAAATCGTTCTCAAATCTCTTCTCTCACTACCATGAAGAGTTCTGATCCAGACCGGTCTCTGAAATCATTGAATCCCCTTCTCTGGAATCGATCAAAGATTCCGCATCAACAATTGCGCTACCATGAAGAGTTCTGACCCAGATCCAGTCTCTCAAATCATTTACTCCTCTCAGCCTACCCTTCTCCACCTCTCCTTCAACCTGGACCAGAGCTCCTTTGGTGTTGGAATCGACTGCGGATTCCGTACCTACAATTTCTATTCAATGATATCAGGTAAGATTTGCTTTATAACTTCTTAAAACTTTCTAATTAAAATTATAAATTGTGATCAATATTCACACCTTCATCGTAAATTCTGTCTACTATGGTATACTAGGTTAATACCCTTATTAAAGAAGAATAGTCTTCAGAACAACTATATACATTATATAATCACCTGTTCATTTGAACAAAAAACCAGGATGGTTCTTTTTTTATCAATATTTAATAGCAATGTTTTTTCATCATCTTGGTCATTTTTTTAGTTGGTTTCAATTCAAATTCAACCAAATTACTTGAAAAATGCCTTTGCATTAGGTTTAAGAAGGTAGGTATTACAAACTGCATGTTAAAGTATTGGGTATGGTATTTCGTCGTTAAAGTATTGACTCAATTTAAGTATTTGTCCCTAATTCCATAGAATTATATACTCTGTACAATTAATCAGCCAAAGCTTCCCAGTTTTCCATTTGATATACACTTAAGCATCTTATGCTATTATTTGCTTATATTATTATGTTCTGCTATGGTATAGGAGGACCCAGTGTTGACATTTTGATTCTTTCCTTTCTGAAGTCACAGTTGAATGTCTAGATGTGTTGTTGATATCAATTTTTTTTGTACCAACAAAATTTAGTAGTAGACATATTTGATTTGTAATGTCCAAATAGACACTAAATGACATTGACTTGCTGAGTTGTGTGTAAATTCATAACCAGAGGTGGCTGCCTATTTCTTCCCTCTGTTTCTTCTGACATCATATCCTTTCAGGTATAACATCTCAATTTATGAATTTTGGATTAATTGTATGTTTCTGCTCTCTTATGCTTTGTGGTCTTCCTATGTTTCTACAAATTGCCATGTTAGCATGTTGTTTATGTCTGTCAACTACTTAGGCAGGTCAAGTTAACCTAACAAAATGACGATAGAGGGCTAGTTTATGTATTCGATTGACATCACATTTTTGAACTAATAACTCTTATTTTTACATGATTTCTTCTGTCAATGAAGATGGGAAATACATGTTGGATGAATGTATTGAGCCGGATTCTGATTTTTATCTGAACCTTGTGAACACAATTTCATACATGGTGGCCATGATGCTGCAGGTTGCTAACTTTGCAGTCAACTACATGTGTCGCCCTTTCAACCATAGCATATTGGAAAACAAGTCGTCCCTTTATGCCCATCGAAGCAGACTGCAGGCTGCTATTGGCTTTTTTACATGGCCCGTTGACTGTTGGCAGGTTGAGCTGTTCTGTAAATTTTATAGTGTATATATTTGTTTATTAAAAAAATATTTAAAAATGGTAAGATATCTCTATCATATAGTAACCCTTTTTATTTAGAATAAAAACTTGAAAATGGTAAGTATATTCATCACATATCAAACCTAGAAAAAAAACTATAAGGAAACCTGCACTTCTATAAGGCAACGTGCAAATCTCTAAGAAACTTATAACATATATATGTATAAGAAATCGTGACACTTAATTACAAGTATCAGTAATAACCCTTATAAGGAAACATGTATCTTTTCAAAATTTCAGCACCAATTAAGAGTCCGGCTATATGGGGAGGCAGTAACATACATGGCCCGTTGACTGTGTGTCAAGTTGAGTTGTTATTGAAATCTTTTAGTGTATAAAGAATAATATTTGTTAAAAAAATATTTAAAAATGGTAAGATATCTATATCATATAGAAACCCTTTTTTATTAAGAATAACAACTTGAAAATGGTAAATATATATTCATCACATATCAAACCTAGAATGAAAACCTACAAGGAAACTTGCACTTCTATAAGGAAACGTGCAACTCTCTAAATATAAATGAAATAAATCCTGACATATATGGTAAGAATCTTATAACATATATATGTATATAAAATCCTGACACTTAATTACAAGCATCAGTAATAACCCTTATAAGGAAACATGTATCTTTTCTAAATTTTAGCATCAATTAAGATTCCGGCTATATATACACCAGAACCTAACACTCTTTTATTATATACACACGCACAACCCTATAAACTCATCGGTACTCGGGCATCTTAGCATCTGAAGGCAGAGGTTGAACAAGTATGTCATGATTCGTTTACAGTTCAGTCAGTTTTGGAAGTCAATCTTTTATGGTTCAATCTTTTACACTTCAATCATCATATTCATTATAATTATTATTATTATTATTATTATTGTTGTTGTTGTTGTTGTTGTTGTTGTTATTATTATTATTATTATTACTATTATTACTATTACTATTATTACTATTATTATTAATATTATTATTAATATATTTCTCATCGGATTTATACTTTCCATTAGTAAATTTTTTGAAAGAGTACATGTGAACTTAAATCTTGCTTTAAAAGTACATCCATTGTATTCATAATTTCATATTCTCAAATGTTGCTTCTTCTTTGAATGATATTGCAGAAAAATGCCACCTCAGAAGAAATTTCTTTCTGATGTTACTCTTCAGCTCCCACGAAATTCTGCCTTTTTGTTTCGTGTTAGGAGAAAGAAGATTGTGAAAAACCAGAACATGAGTTTTGGTTCCCGCATTTGTGAATTAGTTTTGATGGATGAAAAGGTGATGAACTACCCAATGCCATATTTTTTTATTACTTTTGATTTTATTTTAGCTGACTTTTTCATTGTATCTGTGTTTCATTATGTACATTCCTTCTATTAGTATGGATTTCTCATTACAGTAGGCTGCTTCCAAGTTTTGTACTGCTTGGAAAAACTGACATTAATTTGAGAACTCATTAAATCTTATCAAATAACTCTTCCGTAAAATTAAAGCTTCAAAAACAGTAGTCAAAGATAAAAATTGAAACTTCAGGGAACCGTAGTCAAAAGTTTTACGTTGTCTTTAAAATGGATTATTCATTGAAGTTGAGTTTGTGTGTTTGGTGCCTCATTTTAACTTCTTTTTCAGAATTCTTTTTTCAATGCTAGCAAAAAATGCTTGGTTCTGTAATTTAAAATCTAGGTACCATGTTTGAAGATTTTTTACTTCTTATTCATTTTACTTTATAACCATGGCTTACTAATATTATTATTTCAATGAGAGAATTAACAGTTTGGTATTCTATAGAATGTCTTAATAAAATGGTTAGGCTTCCATGTGTATCAAAAAATTTCTTTGTAAGTTCCCTTCATTTGTTATTCACCTTGCATATTCTCAGCTTTTCAGATTTTGGAGGAATGGATTTATTCTTTTTTTTGTTTCAATAGCTAATTTATTCAGTGAGAACTTAAACAATAATAGTTTTGCATTTATTTTGTAAAATGAAACAGCCCTCATTCCTAATCAGCCAAAAATCTGACTGAGATTTTTTTTAAAATAAAAATCTGATGAACTACCCAATGTTAACCCTTAACATTCTTAGTATAGTGCGAACCTCATTAGTATTATAAGTATTCTCAGCATTAGTATCATCAGTATTAGGCCCTGCCATGAGGATAAAAAATTATAGGAAGCGAGATTTATAAATAAGCATAGCAAGATATTATTATAACAATTAGTAATGCTCCCAAGTTCCCTTCCACTGTGGATAGGTTAGTGTTTGTGATCTATTCTATATCAATCATTGTTTGCTTCCCCCTTAGGAAGTTACGAATATTCATATTGTTTTGAATTGATAAAGAATAATATTTGTTTAAATCTACCAAAAATGTTTAAATAAGAGTTCACTTTGGCTACAAAACTAGAAAACCAATGCTATCAGTAGCCTATGCTTCAGACAAATGAAAAACATCGTGAATTTTCACAGAGCATTTATAATATCATAGCCTATGCAGATATTATGAATTCCCCAGATGTTGAAGCGCCTGATTTGATTGGTATGTTTCTAAAAAAATATCCAAATGTTGGTAGGACTACATTTTTTTATCACCTAATGTTCTAACATTACCCTTGATTAAATTTAGATGTTATTGGTACGTACAATCCCGATCAAAAACCAACCAAATCAAGTGATGAAAAAAGCTCCTGGTGTCGATTTCCCTTGATCAATCTAGAGTTAAGATATGATTGTGCAGAATAAATTCATTCCTACACACATTATGATGATTGCTTTATTATGTTAACAATCTCATGACTAACATGTAGGAATGCCAAAATAACATGCACACTATGGAAGGAGTACTCAACGCAATTTCTGGATTTTATTAAAACACCTAGGCATGATCCCACCATTATTGTGCTACTGCAGTTTTGTCGGATAAATAAGTGTATGATATTCCTACATCCCTTCTTAGTCTCAAATTATGTTTTCAATGCCTTACATTTGCTAATTTCCTTTCGAGGATGCAATTAGTGCCCTAATGAAACTGTATATTTGATTTAGTCGATGATACGAAGGGTGTGTCATCTGCATGGCATTTTACAAAGTTACTAATTGATGAGAACATCCCTGAGATTGAAGAGTTTCGAAGCCGGTGTGGACACTTTTTATTTTGGTGCTGCGGTATATTGTTGTCCTTAATTTATTTTATTTTATTCAATCTTACATTTTCTGCTATTTCAATCATTTGTTGCAGTTATATGATGGCCGTTCATCAACTCACACCATCAAGTACTTTTGTTTCACAATCATCTACTGCATCACTTACTAATGGTGATGAGATCGGTTTTACCAAATCACTTTCAGAGTTATCCACTACGAAGGAGGTAATATGTTAAACTGCGGTTAGTAGACATTAAATAACTATTTTTGACATTACTAATGAGGAAACTGAATCTTTTCCTTAAGATGTTGAAAATACACAGAATGTTATTAATAAAAGTCAAAATAGGAAATCTGGAATAATGACTCTTTAAAAAAAATCTAATTTCATTTAGACTAAGAAAATTCCATTACAAAGACATGAGTCAGAGTACATGAATAGTTTTTAGATGGGACTTTACTCGAAGCAATCTGAAAACCCAACGGCCTTGCTAGCTTATTTTGAAATGTATATAAGATCTCAACAAGTAATTCCTTTTGAAAGCTTTCACAACTTTGAAATGGATACATTGGTTTATTTGTGTCTTAAAATCTATTATAGTTTATACTATTTGATGCTTCAAAGCAAACAAATCTGTACTGGATATAATACCACCAGCTAGATATAATAAAAACATCAAGAAGAAACGAAGTATGCTCAACTTTAAACGAATTATAGTCCAATTTGACATGCAGTTTTCCAATAGCTGAAGGATAGGTAACCCCTAACAGTAGTTGGAAAACATTATGACAGAATGATGTGGCAAAACTTAAGCAGTAAGGTTAGGTTTTATGCCCCCCTAAATGTTGAGTGTCAATCCTATTCTTCTTTTTGAAGTTTTTCTTATTTACAAGGTTTTAGTATCTGGTCTTGATGCGCCAACATCATATAGTGAGGAAAACTTAAGATAGCTTATCTCTTATTAGCTGACTCATCGTGTTCAACTCTCTTATCATTTGTAGCAAGTTAGTTTTATTCACTTTGTTTTGATTTAAATCATTTGTATGGTTGAGTGATTTATATTCTTAGAGATATGAAGATACACCTATCGGTCCATGATTCTCATTAACGTGTCTAATAAAAGAATTTTTTGAATGCCTCTGATATTTTTCTCTTATTAATGCCTCAGGGATAGTTTATTTGTTTCAGCAATTCTAAAACCAAACAGTAATAATGTTTAATTTTGTAAACATATATGCAATGCTCAACAATGTAAACTTCTTAGATACACCTCTTCTCAAAGCTTATATTCAATGCATCATGTCCGAGGATGCTGGTTCTATGGTGTGATACATGCAATATTTTCTTCACGAAATTGGGCTTATTTTGGTTGTAGTGACGCGGAGTGTTGTAAGAAACTGTGTGAAGAAGATGTAGTGTGCACCAAATGCGGTAGAAGTAGAGATGAGGGTGTTTGGCGATACACTTTGAAAATGAAAGTCAGGCATGGGACAACTTTTGCAGATGTAATGTTCTGGGATGAGGAGGCCCGACTACTACTTGGAAAGGCGGCGGGAGATTTTCACGAACACCTTGAAGTGGTACTTATATACTTCATATTTAAATTATTTGTTTAAAAAAATATTGATATTCATATACTGTAACATCTAATTTCCAAACAACTAACCGTTTGTAGGCAACACTTAGACCTATCAGCTGCCCTGAAGTCATATCTGAATTGATCGGACGAGAATATCTATTCCAAATCAAGTCTGCAAACACAAACTCTAACTATGTTGAACAGGTTTGTCATAGGCATGGTATCGAGCGATAAAGAAAAAATAAAACAATTCAAGTTGGCAGCAGGAAGTGAGGGAACGAGTTCTGAGGTAATATACCTCAAACGTTTTAATACTTCTTTGTTTCATTAAATATTTATTCATTTTAAAACTTAAAATTTATCCACAGGCGTACAATTCAGATGAAGACTTGGAATTGCTTTTTGAATTTGTGCCGACAATGGACTCAAATGTGGTAATACCTTATCTCCACAGATTCACACACGAGATTACGTTGTTGGTATACTGTTATTGAACTGAAAAAATGCTTAAATGTGCATGAAAATAGCTAGTAGATTATTTTAGGAAAGTTCAAAAGCAAAACTGCTTCACCATTGGTATTATAATAATAACATAACGTCATTCACTTGACTTCACAAGAATAGTAAACATAATAAATAATAAATTTTAGAGGGAGTTGAGAATTTTTTTGTTGCAGGTTATTTCAGACATGTCAAGAATTGGAAGAAGCAATCATTTGTGGCCGTGAAGATTGAAAAGTCATGATATCGAATTATTATTTTCTATTTGATTCAGTACCGCCTTTTATACTTTTATTCATGTATTGTTTCAAACAAGTTTGATCTCAGACTTCTCAATGCCATTGATTTTTAATTAATATTTTGTGGGTGTTATTTTGAGTGTTTAAGAGTATTCACTTTAATACCATTTACATACAAAGTAATAATATTATTATGGCTAATATTAATATTGAATAAGGCTGAATTACAAAGTTATTAAGTTTTCTAAATTCGTTTCATTGCAGGTTCATGGACATATATAAATATATCCACTTGACATATTCTTAGAAATAAAAATAATACTAATATAGCATCTCTTATTAGTATTTATCTCTTGATTAGAAAGAGCAATATAAAAGTTTTTAATCATACTTGTGGATCAATTAACGTGTTATTTAAGTATGGTTCTTTTATTTACAATATATTAAAAATATTACAATAAATGATGACTTAGTAAATGAAAAACATTTAATGTATTATACAACAAAACAAAATTTCGAAAAAAATGCATTTTTTTGAATTAATCACAATTAAAAAAAACCGTTGCCGAATTGTGCACATATATTTTGTATATATAGGAAGAAAGTAATCTCCTATATAAGTAAACCTCTTAATATGCATTAAAAGTAACATTATTAGGCTATTAAGATTTGAGATGGTACATCTTGCCATATTTAATTCTATTATTGCTATATATGGAAGTAAAAGTACAAACCTCTCCTAATTTAGTGAGAAATCTTTTGTATATATACATCTCTTCCCTACGAGTTCATTCCAACGTACAACCCAATTTTCTTCATACATGACTTCATACAAAGGCCGTGCTAGGTACCATCTAAATATTTTATTTTTAACTGCGATGTATTCATCTCAGTTAGTTACGCTGCGTTAATTTTTACATGATTATGGATTGTTTCTTTTGATTTGATAAATGATATATATAATTATCAATTCATGTTATGTATTATAATACGTTGTAGGATTTTAGGCTAGATATTCTTGACATGTTTTTATACATGGTATTAGAAGGAACGAATTATTATGGAATACAAACTGATCAAACATTTTCCAGACCACACTAATTTTGACCAGTTCAGACCACACCAGACTTAAGCGGAATTGACCACTTATCAACATTCTACATTAGGAAACTCCCAATAAAAAACAATTTATGCAAGACTCAAGCAATCTATGTTTCTCCAAATAATAGTTTTCTAAATTAAACGTTTCACAACTTAAATCTACGTATCACAAATGTATCACGAATTTCTTAACGGCATAAACTGTTCTGGTGTTCCAAGTCACGAGTTGAAGCTAAAAGTTGGTGTACCGGTGATGCTCATGAGGAATATAGATCATTCGGCTGGCTTGTGTAATGGTACCCGACTTTTAGTGACAAAACTTGGTGAACATATTATTGAGGCGCAGATGATGTCTGGAACTAATGCAGGTGAGAAATTCCTTATCCCGAGGATTAGTCTAACCCCGACAGATGTGAGGCTACCTTTTACATTCATGCGTAGACAATTCCCCTTGGTGCTTAGCTATGCAATGACGATGAACAAGAGCCAAGGACAATCGTTAGAGAATGTGGGCATTTTTCTACGACGACAAGTTTTTACACATGGGCAATTATATGTTGCGGTTTCGAGGGTGACGAGTCCGTTTGGATTGAAGTTCGTGATATGCGACGACGAGGAAAATAGGAAAAAGACCGCAAAAAATGTTGTCTACAAAGAAGTCTTCAATAATTTGTAAAATTGTATACTTAGTAAACTCCAAATATTTTTTATTATGTATTTATTAGTTGTTACTCTCATTCCCGTGAAAAATTATAATATAATCTTTAATTTCATTTAGAGGTAGAATGATTTTTTTATACTTATAATATTTGTATCTTACACCCCGTGCAACGCACGGGTGGAATACTAGTAATCAACTAACGATAATACTTCCTAAACATGTACTCCCTCCGTCCCTTATAACTTTGCCAACTTTCCTTTTTTGTTTGTCCCAAAAACTTTGTCACTTTCCCTTTTAATCAATCAATCTGTGACTCCTATTATTTCTCTCTTCTCTGCACAAATATCTACCACACAATTTTTACTTTATTATTCTACGTGCCGGTCAAACTTGGCAAACCTTTAAGGGACGGAGGGAGTAAAAGTTAAAACAATCGCATAATATTCACAAATACCATTTTGATCTTATTAAAATATATAATGATACTCCAAATTGGTTATTTGTATCCTACCTTTAATTTATTATATAATTTAACATGGTTTTTATTCTTAAACAAATAAATAGCATATAAATATATTGCTTCGTTTTGTAGGGTATTGAAATTGGAGTTTTATTGGTTTAAAATACTTTAAAGTTTAAAAAAGAATACCTTTTTTGGAAACCCAAACAAAAATGGGATTTTTCCGGGTTTGTCGAGTTTTTTTATGTGTAGGTCGACCATGTTTTTTCGGGTTGGCCGGGTTTTTCCGTTTTTGATCAATTTCGGGGTTTTAACTAACCCCGTCGGATTTTGGTCGGGGTCGTCAGCTTCTGGGTCTACCCAGCCGGTCGGGGGTTTTTGAGGGTACTGCGTTAATTAAATCATTAGTCATCCTTAAATAGAGGCAAATTAATATATAATACTTTTTAGGATTTTATTGCAAAATATTACTAAAATAATATTTATTTACATAAATATGACTAATAGTTACTACAATGTAGTGTCATGGTAACCTAAGTTTAGAAATCGAACATATGTTACTCTGATTCTATATTACTCTAGACACTAGTTACATTTTTGTAAGCAATCTTCACCTTAGTCATATACTACCTTCGTCCCCAAAACAACTTCTCACTTTCCTTATTTGGATGTCCCAAAATAAACTTCTCATTTCCATAAAAACTAATTTTTCCATAGAAAATATCAAAACTACCCTTACTATTTACTTACTCTTTACATTATTTTAAATAAAGTAGGGATATTATTGGAAAGTCAACTACTCGCTCAAGTCAAAGTGAGAAGTTGTTTACGTGACGGAAGGAGTATATATGTAATTATTTCTACTTTTTAGAATTATTAATAAATAATGGGGAAAAGGTCTAAAAATGACACTAATGATTTTAATGAAGTTCGGATTGGACACTAAAGTTTTAAGTAGCCCAAATAAACACAAATTTAAACTTTTTGAATCCATTTTAGTCACCCTTTAACATCCCCGTTAGATGACCCTTCTCTATCGTTAAACAACACAACCCCAATCTATGAAAACTAAGTTTGTGTAGAGAATTGGAAGCCTTCTGTATGTTTGAACGGCGAACTAGGACCAAATTAAGGAGGGGGTCTCAGTAGCCTTCTGTTTACCGGAGGATGAAGAATCGTAGGGCTGCTATTGAGATCAATTTCTGACGATGGTCTGGGCAAATTTCATCCGGTGATGAGCGGCAGAGAGATGTTGGTGTTATCGGCGGGTGTTGATGTTCGTTTGCTGCGTCAGATCCCGAGGCTACCGGATCATTGTGAAGAATAGTGGGCCGTTGTCCCTGTTTCTTTGCCGGACTGATTGTGCCGTTTGTTAGAGAGAAAGAAATCTGCGGTTGAAATTCAGAGGAGTCTCCGTCTCCGTTGCCGGTGCTCGTTCGCCAGAGGATAAAGCTGATCGGTGAGCTGCTTCCGAAGCTGTACATCACTGGTCCTGTCGGAAACGGTGTGGGAGAAGATGCTAGTGCTGAGTTTTTGTTGTTGGCGCCATTTGTTGGAGCTGCTCGTTTGCTGGTTCAGTATCGAAGTAGGAGCTCAATCTATCATTTTTGCTGCTGATTTGATTTGAAGTAGTGTTTCTGTTCACCGCAGAAGATGTGTGCCGTTTCCTGCACATGGGAGAACCGGAGAAGAAGAGCCGAATCAACTGGTTCTGATTTCTGATGGGAGGAATGGGAGCAAGCGAGACGAAGTCCATAGCTAATCTCTTCCGGCGCTGCTTTCTAACGGCATCAATCGGAACAAAATAATGGAGCAATTAAGGGTGACTTAAATGGATTCAAAAATTTTAAATTTGGGTTTATTTGGTTTTCTTAAAACTTTAGTGTCCAATCCAAACTTCATTAAAAACTTTAGTATCATTTTTGGACCTTTTCTCATAAATAATGTTATTGTTATCTAATACTTCCTCCGTCCCTTATAACTTTGCCATCTTTCCTTTTTTGGATGCACCAAAAACTTTGCCACTTTCCTTTTTAATCAATGAATTTGTGATTCCTGTCATTTCTCTGCACATATCTCAACCACACAATTTTTACTTTATTATTTCTCGTGCCAGTCAAACATGGCAAAGTATTGAGGGACGGAGGGAGTACTTCGTACATGATATTTAAGATTATAAATGTCACAAAATGTAAACAAATTGCAAATAATGCTCAATAAATTAATCTTATTGCAAAAAAATGCATTATTCAAATGAATCAAACTCAATTTCTGCCGTTTTTTTATTGAACTTGCTCCTTATCCTCCTATATAGCCAAATAACAAATAACTACTCCGCAAAATTTATACCTGTTTAGATGCGCAACACTTTTTTTTTTCAGATTCAATTCGAATGTCCGTATCATAGTTCCAGTCTTCAAATCGAGATTATAAATTGGCCAGACCTTCACAAATGTCTGATTTGACGATTACTCCTTTTTGTCCCTTCTCTCAACTGTTAGTAAGGTGAGGTGATGCTGATCTTCCTTTCATTTTCTCACTTTTCGTACTCTAATTCAACGGATGCTTGTTTTACGATCGATGCCGTTAATGCTATATCTCGTTTTTCATTTGGCTCTCTGAATCTGAATTTTGTATGGTTTTCATTTTTATCTTCATTTGTGTTTACCTGGTCTAATAAGGGTTACTTTGCTTGTTTGTTGATTGTTGGAACGAGAAGTGGAAGAAACGATGGGTAGGCTTTTCCTCACCTACTTGGAAGGCAACTTCTATGGCTGCAAGTACTGCAAGACGCATCTGGCCCTTGAGGATGACGTTTTGTCTAAGGTCTCTCTATTAACTTTTTGTAAACAATGTGTGTGTGTGTGTGTATGAGCATCCTCGTGGGGTAATTGTGGGAATGTTTCTACTGCATTTCTTCTAGAGCATTCATATATATTTGTGATCTTCTAGTTTGTTTATAATGGCTTTTGAAATTCGTGTGATTATTGATTGGATAGACACCGGTTGTGAAAGGGAAATGCCTTTAGCAGTTAGTACAAGCACATTTTTTTTGTTTCTGTATATCTCTCTTTGAGTTAATGTTTGACATAACAATATAAATTCTAGATGGAAGAGGATGTGGTATATGAATGAGGAGAAATGGGGCAGATGAAAGAAGAATATGAAATGAGGGCAGATCTAGATGAAGTGTAAGATGAAAATATGAAATGAACAGACATGTTTGACTTATTAAATAAAATGATTGATGAAAACATAGATAGCCATAAAATGGTAATATATATACTAATGATGAAGAAGTACATTATTGCGATTCGATAAAACTTTGAGGACATGGGATGCAAAATATGAAGTGTAATTGTTTAAATGAAAATGTACTGCAAGTAGCTTTCACTTTTCTTTTTGAATTTTCATCTACTGAGCAAACGAAGATGTTTTGTTAAATGATAGATGAAGTTGCAACATTGCATCTGTAATACAGATGAAATATCCCGCCAAACATACACTTAGAAATAACTGGCTTAAGCTAATGTTGATTTCCAAAATCAAGGAGGTGTTTGGATGCACGGGGTGCAGGGGCTAAACAGGTAAAGGAATTTGATTGGCATAGTTTGAAGGTAATCTTCAATGCTGATTAGTTCTTATATTTGTTGTTGTCCAACAGACCACACTTCAGTTTGCCAAGTGGATCTTTCTTCCATTAGCCACTGATCTCGACAGCCTAGTAACCTATTAAGAACTTAAACTGACAATGAATCCTAGTAATCTAGTATGCCTTGAAATAGAAAGGGTCCTCTGAAAGGACAAAGAGACCTTAATTTGATGCCTGTTTTTCTTTGCAGTCACAATGTGCTGTCTGGTCCTGTTTTTTATATGGTTTCTAGTTTTAACGTATCAAATAAATAGTTATTATTGCCTTTGATTCATATACTTTTAACTTTACTTGTAAACTACTATACTATCTTCACCCCCAAAACAGTGGCCCTTTTGACCTCTGCACAGCTACTTAACTCGGACAAGTGCAATTGTCATTTTTTCATATCTCATGAGTCATGAATCACACTTTCATTTTTAAAATTTATTTGATGTTTTAACCAAGTTTACCTTATGTAACTTCTTTATATCGCTTGCCTTTTTTGGAAACTTACATGAAAGATTAGCTTAATTTGATCAAATTGGATTTTTTTGAGGCAAAAGAAGTTTTTGAAACACAAACTTTCATATTTTAGAATGAGGGAGAATTATCCATTCGTTTTTTACCTCTGCAAATAGTTGTCACATTTCCTCTTATCCTCTCCCATATGCTCACCCAAATTTTATGTTTGCTTTCCAGTCATTCCACTGCAGTCATGGGAAGGCTTATCTGTTTGATAAAGTGTAAGAATTTTTCTTTGCTTCTTCAGTGCTCAGATTTTATGAGATACATTATGGATCTCTCTTGGTGTTTTTTTTTCTTCTTGTTTACATGTAAATGGTTCTAAGTTTTGAGTAGTGCTGACTTTCCTATTATGCTACATAGTGTCAATGTAACTTCTGGTGAGAGAGAAGAGAGGATGATGCTGACAGGAGTGCATACTGTTGTTGACATATTCTGTGTGGGTTGTGGCTCTCTTCTTGGTTGGAAATATGTAAGCTTCTCACATTTACTTTTGCCAAACACCATTTTCTGTTATGTATTTACCTAATAATGCTTTATATTCTGTTGATTTCAGGAGCTTGCACATGAAAAGCCTCAGAAGTACAAGGAAGGAAGATTCATTTTGGAGAGGTATTAAAAGGATGCTTCCCTTTTGGAGTTCTTCTCACGTTAAGTCCCTATGGTATTTGGTATTTCAGCTAAATAGGTGAGTCAAAAGCTCTGGTTATTCTGCTTGTTCTTAGCAGAATGAGCCAGGTGAGACTACCAACCAAACGGAACCTGATTTTCAAGAGTATGAAAACTTTTTTTTTTTTCTAAATCTGTGCACTGGAACAAATTAGGTATATGATATTAGGGCCGGGAGGAAACAACTATGCAGTGAATCAAGATGCTGAGATTGATGGCAGTGATGCTGATGAAGAATGAGTAACTATGCTTTACTTTAGGATAAAAAATGTAAAAAACATTCTCTCATTGCACATTTACCTCTTTCTAAGACCTCTTATATCGACTGATACATGTAGTGTAGTAGCATGTAGCCAAGCAGTCTGAGGATATTTGTAGTGTTATATAATGTCCATTGTTTTTCAAGTAGAATTTTTGAACAAGGGGTACCGTGGCGCATTGGTTGGCACTGTTGTGTACGTGACCAAGAGATCATAAGCTCAAATCTTATGAGCGGACTCTGGTAAAAATGGTAAGAGAAGGCTTGCTCAATATACGGATTATACCTCCTTGGGACCCTTCTCCGGACTCTCATCTTGTGGGGCTGCAACTTATTACTCTCTTCGTCCAGAAAAGGTTGGCCAAATTTCCTTTTTTGGATGTTCAAAAAAGATTTGCCATTTCCATTTAAAGTAAGGAATGTGGCTAAAATTAATTTTTTCTTCTCTGCACAAATTTCAATCACACAGTTTTTACTTTATTAATCCACGTGAAAGTCAACTTTAGCCAAACTTTTCGGAATGGAGGGAGTATTATGTAGTACGATAGTATTATTTTTAATTTAAGAATTAGAAATTAGTTCAAATAGGACTAAAACTATGGCAAAAACCTAAAATAGGACTTGCTATGTTTTTATTCCAAAATAGGATCATATAAGTCCTATTGGAAACATACCTATTTTTGCATTCCATTCTTACCCTTCCATTAAATATGAATTAAAAATAGTCAAAAGCCATAATTAAATGTTTAATTCATAATAAATTCAAAAAAAATTCAAAAATTCGTAGAAATATAATTAAAAAATTTATAAAATTTTTATAAAATAAAAAATTCAAAAACTTTTTTTTTAAATAATTTTATTTTTAAAAAAATTAATAAAAAATATTAAAACTCCGTAAAAAAAATTTAAAAAAATATGGATGCCTTTCCCACCGCCTGTACTACCTCCCAGCACCATCACCTCCGGCCGATGAAAAAAATGCCATTTTCCCAGAAAAATGCCATTTTTTTCTGAAAATGTCAAAAAAGTGGCATATTTCTCTTTTCGAATGCCAACATTTTCATTTTTTCTGCCATAAATATGGCATTCTTAATGAACTTGGCATTTTTTTCCCCGGTGACTGGAGGTGGTGGTGCTGAGGCGGCAGAGGCGGCGGCGATTTTTTTTTAGTTTTTATTTTTTTTTAATTTTTTTTTAATTTTTTTAATTATTTGAAAAAAAAATTAATTATATTTTTAATATCGAAATGTTTTTCTTAATTTTTTAGTATTTTTTTCGTTTTTTTTTTTATTTTTTATTATTTTATTAGGAATTAAAACATTTTAATAGCTATAAGGGTATAATTGTCCAAGGTACACATAATTAGTCCTATGCAAACATAGTTTATTTTTTTATCCTATTTGTGAAAAGTGAATGACTTTTAGTCCTATTTTGATAATTAACTCTTTAAGAATATCAAAGTTTCAGACTTGGGCACTATATTCCATCTGTGACTGAAATGAGGTAGTCAAGTGTATAGCTGACAATGACGTTAATAACATGAAAATCTTTTAGGCAATTAATGTAAACAATTTCAAGCATTTCAAATATAAGTATATAAAAGAAAAATAATATAATAAATAGAACTCCTTACAAAATAAATTAATATGGAGTAATATACTATAATATATAGATGTGTTGGTAGAAAATATCTCGGGTAGAGAAACTAGCAGCATTTCGGTATAATAAAAATAGCGTAGAGAATACAAGGGGGGTGATGGCCTATTTATAGGCATCCATCACAAGTCCAAAGTCTAACCTACGTGGGCTTGGCCCAAATACATAATACATGTCCAAGCTAATGGGCGAATCGGCCCGATAAATAAGTAAATGAGCAAGGGGCGATTCCCGCTCGTGAGACTGCGTCTTGGGCCTAGTTGGGCCAAAGCTCGGGGATAACGGGTCGATGACACTGGGCCTGGCATATTATCCCAACACGAGTCCCCCACTCCCTTAGTCGAGTAGTAGACTCGGCTAAAAGGGAGTAGTTGAGCTGCCTTGAAATCGGCCTGGTTGCCAAGCTAGCTAGCTAGTTACACAGATGATTGTTGATGATGACGATCTGCGGTGTGCCTGGAAAGGTTAGTCATGTAACCGTCTGTTGTGATCCCACAATGTTGCGCAAGGATGAGACCCTTCTTGTCTAGGTAGCATCCTGGGGTCCTGGTTATCTGGCCAGCTGCCAGGTCGTCTTTGCTCATGATGAGGGGATGCCTCGTTAAAACCTTACTAGGAAAAAACCCGTTGGGAAAAAATCCTAGTGAAGGAAAAAGAGTACACCGGTACCTCAAAATAAAACAGAGGAAGGTCAGTCTCGTCAGTTCTTGATTGAGCGTCTGCTTTACTGGTAAGCCGAGATATATATGTTCCGGGAAGGCCAGTCGCTTGTCTGCTTTCCAGTGGTGGCGGTCGAGCCAATGCATGCTCGGGAGAGACCACCCGCATAACTGTTTGTCGATGATGCCGAGCTAAGGTATGCCCATGAGAGGCTGGTCGCAAAGCTACCCGTTGATGATGCCGAGCCGAGGTATGATCGAGAGAGGGTAGTTTTATAACTATGCACATTGATCCCCGCTGCTTGTGAGAGGATATGGTTTCCTTCGCCTAGGTAGCAGTTTTAGGTCTTGTTTATCCGATTAGCCTCCCATGGTCTCGTTCTTCTGATCAGCAGCCTGGGGTCTTGTTTGTCTGATTAGTTGCAGCCCAGGGTCTTGCTCTGGTGGAGAGATCTCTTCTTTAAATGCACCCAAAATAGAGCTAAAGGGTAAGCTCTTAGGCCATTGTGTGCAGCTGCAACTGTCGCCATCCGTCGAGGGGATAGCAAAGACCGGTCTTCGCTGTTGATTGCTATTATTACCTGTTAGAGAAATGGCAGGTAAAAGAGGTGCTCTCGTTGCTTTAGCTGCAGGGCAAGATACTAAATTTTGGCCTTCAAAGTCAGATGAAGTTCTATCTCAGGTAAGGAAGAAGCCCGGAGCTTCTCCGTCTGGTGCTGGGGAAAAGATAGAAGCTTCCCTGCTTTGCGAAGAGCGACTTTCCAAGAAAAGCAAATGTATAAACTGCTCCTTAGGCCGGGTAAGGGGAGATAACCCAACCGGCAGAATCCTCGCTTACGTTGTTTGTTTCCTCGCAGGTATGGCTGGTTGGACGGAGAAACGCATTTGATGCCCTGCCCCGACCTTCATTTCCTCATAGGTATGGTAGGTCGGAGAAGTGCACTTGCTGCCCTGACCTTCGTTTCCTCGCAGGCATGGATGGTCGAAGAAGCGCATTTGCTGCCTTGGATGCGACAAAAGATGCTAAGTCTCGACCTTTGACATCCGATGCAAGTCCATCTGTTGGTCCCGTTTGTAATGGGAACAGACTAGAGGGGGGGGGGGGGGGGTGAATAGACTGTTCAGGAATTTAAACTTTTCTCTAAGTCAAAACTGACTTATCAGAGATGGTCGAAATCTGGTGACAGAGATGGTCAGGTTCTGATGGCAGAACTAGACCAGGCAGCGGTTAAGTGTTTGTTCGGGTAGCCTCAAAGGAAAAAGCTAAGGCAAAGTGCCTTTCTGATAACTCTGAAGGAAGATCTGCTGGACACAGAGTCCAACCTTAAGAGTTTATCAGTAGAATCTTAAGTGCGGGAATTAAAAGCTTAAAGTAAATGACACCGGAGTTTTTATAGTGGTTCAAGGAACAACTTGTTCCTCTAGTCCACTGTTCCACTAAGCTTGCAAAAACAACAGTTTACAACGCCTTAGTCCCTAGAACTTAAGAAGCACTCATCGTCTTCTTCAAGTCTAGTTGCCACCCGAGATGCAGTCCTGCTTCCTGATGGCTGGTCTCGTTTCACTGAGTCTCTTGAAGTATCCCCACTTCACTTACTCCAGCTAGTTTGAGACGTCCCTTCTTTTTCAAGAAGTGTTTGATTCAAAATCAGTTTTCTCCAACGTTTGCTTCTTCACAAAAGATGAGTAGATGAAGTTTTCGAAGTGTTGAAGAACTGAGTAACTTTGCAACTTGCTAGTTGGATGAGGGATTAGAAAATGTATCTTCCAACTGTAGCCTTTTCTTGTTTAAGGATGAAGTTTGAATCTCAAGAAGGATTTGAGCAAGTTCGTTTTTCAGATGTTGTAGCAAAGTTGTTTTTTCTTAGTTCTTCAGAGTGTATCTTATATACTGGGAGCAGTCTTCCCGTTGGAGTGTAGAAGACAGCTTCATTAAATGCTTGTACTGTTGACTTGACCGGTTGGACCTCCGACTTGCTATTTTGGGGGCGTGAAGATACCCACATGGTCAATCATCAGCTTTAAATATCTCTTCGTACGTACAGCATTAAATGTGCATTTAATGCGTGTACAGTACCATGTTTCCGTTGAAAGGTTCGTAACCGTTAGGGGATTTTCCGTTAGTTTAACGACCGTTGGAAAGTGCTTTCGGAATCTGGTGAGTTTATCAGAGTCTTATGAGGCTCTCTGGTTCAATCTCTGAAGTCCGCCTCTGTTGCCAACTCTGGTATCAACACTGATGACCAGTTTCTGATGGCTTCTCTGGTGAGCAACTCTGAGAGCAACTCTGGTAGAAGCAAGGTGGAACTCTGGCAGACAGACTAAGCTAAAACTTACAAAAGAAATTCTAATACAAAATTTCTAATGGGGTACTTTCAAATTCTAATTAACCTAGCATCATCAAAATCTAAATACATTTATTCCTTACAATTTCCCCCTTTTTGATGATGCCAAAACCCTTTAACTATTTCCAGAGAAGTGCCTTTCACCATAAAAAATAAAGTTTAAAACTTTTCATTAGAATCTTGGTGGGCAAATTAGCATAGGAAAATAGTAAGAGTACGATACAATCAGATAGCAATTAAAGCAAAAGCAAATAAGGTAACAGAATAAACACAAAGAAGGTGATTAAGAACAGATATTTGAATAAGCCATGCAAAAAGAGGCAGAGATGGTATCTTATATATCTGATAGAGAAAATAAAACATTACAGAGTCAGAGATAGAGAGTTAGAGGTCTTCTTCATCTACCTGTGGTCTTGCTCTGTCAATCCTTTCTAGTTCTGCATTTACCTTAGCTCTGATTGAGGCTAGATCCCTCGGATTCTGATAGTCAGCCCAATGGGGTGCAAGTTTGCAGTCCAAAT